ATAACTTATTAAGACATTGTAAGTTTACTGTTTTTCATTATTAAAACAATGTTTCAGTGCACGTTGTCCACATCTGTGATTATTTTTTCAGATTAAATTCTTAGGAGTAGAATTGCTAGGTGGTGCAGAATGTTAAACTTTGTAACACTTATCACATTTTCTTTGAGAATGGCTGTCCCAGAGCAGATGTGTACAAGAAGGCTCTTTCTCCATAGCGCCCTCCAAAATTCTGTGTGCATGTGTTTTAACATTTTGAATAGTGAAAATATCTGACTGGAATTCCACTTCTCTGGTTACCAGCGAAGTTTAACTTTTATTTTTTTATATTTCCTAGACCTTTTTTGCAAGACCATTCTTACAGATCATGAAATACTAAATCCAGTGTTTTTCTTTTATTCTGACTTCTCTGAAGAATTTAATTCTTGACAATTACTTCTTCCTTCCCTTTTCTTGACTTCAGTTTTTCTGCATGATTCTTCTTCCCCCAACTCTCAAATTATTAGCTCTTTTTCTTCCTATAAATGAAACTGCAGTATTGTTCTTGGGAAATTCAGCCCTATACTTTTCAGTCTGTATTTTCTTCGATGTAATATTATCATTTTGCAATCCTTTAGCCATCTAAAAATCTTATATCTAAACTGGCTTGGCGATGCTGCCTTGATACTTACTGCCATGGGTTCAGAAACACAGAGCTCTCTGGCTTGTCCTCTTCTGTCTTCTTATCAATCAAGCCATCAATTTCGCTTTTTTCTATTTGCATTGTTACTATTTTAGTTTAGGCTAACATTTGAAAAGCAGTCTAATTCATCTGCCTGTCTCTGGATTTTTCCCTCTAGTTTGTCTTACACATCACTAGTTATTAATTTTGTGAAAATACTGCCATGATCATGTCATTTCTAATCTCAAAAGCCTTAAATGTTTTCTCCTTTCTTAGAGCAATCGAAACAAGCTGCTCTCTACTTAATATTCATTTTCTTATAATAGGTTGTTAAAATTGCCCACTGTCCTACACTGCTGACCAGAGATGGAGATCGAATTCGAAGTAATGGAAAGTTTGGGGGCCTTCAGAATAAAGCTCCTCCAATGGATAAACTTCGAGGAATGGTATTTGGAGCTCCAGTACCAAAACAGTGCCTGATCATAGGGAAACAAATAGGTAAGTTGAATAAGTACTTAAATAACAATTTCTATCCTAACACTTTGGAAGGCAGAGGCAGGAGGATCTCTTGAGCTCAGGAGTTTGAGACCAGCCTGAGCAAGAGCTAGACCCTGTCTCTACTAAAAATAGAAAAATTAGCTGGGCGTGGTGGCTACAATTAAAAGAAAGTTAACAATAACAAACGGCTCTGTGTTGGGAAAGCAGATAGCCAAGTATAGTAGAACTATATAAATTTAAGAGCAAATAGGCTCTAAAGTAATGACTTAGAGGGGGCTTCCTGCTAGGTATATGTACTTAAGAGCACAGACGTGTAGAGACAGTTATATCGGCTGGCTAGAAGCAAGGGGTCACAGTCTATAGAAGGCTCCCACCACTCCTAGGAGAAATTCCCCTCTCTTACCCACCCTCACCTCCACCCCCAAGTCTCCCTCCAATATTCAGCTGAGTACTGATTAGTGCATGTATGTGAGAAAACCATCCAAGGCCAGAAAGGAACCACCCTAAAGATGAAACAATAGTCAGAGCTCATAGTTTAACATTATAATAATATTCCAAAATATTTGTTAAATTCTAAAATCTGAAACTATACTTATTGAAAAGGAGCTAAGATATTCCCAAACATTCCCCATTATTTACTCCTTTAAACTTTACCAGTGAAGTATGAAAGAATTCATATAGTTGAGACTATTTCTTAAAAAATAAAATTTACTTTAAGAAAAAAAACAGTATGGTCATGCATTGCATAATGACATTTTGGTCGGTGACATACCTGTCTAACATCATAGCACAAGCCAACAAGGCATTACTTTTTCTATGTTTCGATACACAAATACTTACCATTGTGTTCAGTTGCCTACAGTATTCAGGACAGTAACATGCTGTACAGGTTTGTAGCCTAGGAGCAATAGGATATACCATATAGCCTGGGTGTGTAGTAGGCTATACTATGTAGGTTTGTTTAAGTACACTCTGTGATATTTGCACAATGACAAAATAGCCTAGTGAAGCATTTCTCAGAACATATCCCCATTCATTAAGCAACGCATGACAATATAGGGTAGGTAGTAACCGTGGTTTCAGGTATCCACCGGGAGTCTTGGAACATATCCTCCGAGGATAAGGAGGTACTACTGTAATATATAGTTTATAATCATGACATCATCAAAATTATTAACCTTTTAATTATGTTCATATATTCTCGAGTATTATATGTCTGGCCAGGATAGACATTGCTTATTGTTTATTGTATTATGCTTAATTTGTTAGTTCTAATATTAAGTTCTCAATTATTACAGTCCACTTATTGGTGTTTTTATTTTTAAGTAAAGCCATTCTTAATATTTTTATAAGTAGTCACTAAGATTATTTAAATGCTGTCGCTTTCAGGGAAAGGGTGTTTTGTTTTTATGGAAATAGAGCAGTATGATGAACTCCCATGGACCTGTAGCCCAGCTTTGATTATGAAAACAGCCAATCTTGTTTCATGTATACCCATCCTCACAACTTGCCTCTGTCCTCTTCTTCCTGGGTGGTTTATTTGAAGCAAGTCAAAGCAGAGATTCTGGTGTATTTTTCCACATAATTTTTTCCCAGTCATAAGTGCTTATCACTTATTTGCCAACAAAGTTCTTACAATCATGTGAAGCACGGAGTTTGAAGAGAGCTAAATGTTATTTAGGAAAGTCTACCTACTCATCTAACTGCTTAAATCTTCCAGTGGTGAGAAAATTGCTTTAGCCTTTTAAAGCAACCTGTGTTTGGGCAGTCCTTAAACACTCACTTAATAACAGCCCTTTAGATCCTTTTGTGTTATTTTGGTAGCTTTACTTGCATGGTCATTTTCCTGAATACATTGAAATAATCTATCTTAATATATGTCATATAGAAATGAATGCATTGTATAATAATTTAGGCTTTCTTCCTGTTACATAAAATAATTTTTAAAAATATTTTGCTGTTTACATCACAGTAAAGCTTCATCAGTTTTTTTCAGATGAGTGAAATTTTCAGAAAATGTGTAAGAGCTCTAAAATCATTTTTAATAATTAAATGTGATTTTTAAAATTTTCTTTCTGACAAATTCTATTGATGAGTTACGTAAGACTTATAGACACCATGAAGTTACATTTCGTATACAAAAAATTGGGGGTTGATAAGGCCTATGAAGCTTCTGTTGTCCATCTTAAGCATAAACTGAACCTTATTCATAAAATGTGCTGAATTTAGTGGGAAATATTTAATATCCCATCTTTCTGCTTATAAATAACAAGATTAATGTTCTATTAAAACTTTTGAATATGCTCATTTCTTGAATATTTAAAAGGTAAAAGAAGGCCAGGCGCGGTGGCTCACGCCTGTAATCCTAGCACTCTGGGAGGCCGAGGCAGGCGGATTGTTTGAGCTCAGGAGTTTGAAACCAGTGTGAGCAAGAGCGAGACCCCGTCTCTACTAAAAATAGAAAAAAATTAATCGGACAACTAAAAATATATAGAAAAAATTAGCCGGGCATGGTGGTGCATGCCTGTAGTCCCAGCTACTCGGGAGGCTGAGGCAGGAGGGTCGCTTGAGCCCAGAAGTTTGAGGTTGCTGTGAGCTAGGATGACGCCACAGCACTCTAGCCCAGGCAACACAGTGAGACACTGTCTCAAAAAAAAATAAAATAAAATAAAAAAATACAACGTAAAAGAAGATTGTACTTTCAGGGATCATTTCTAGAGTTCATTACTAGAGAATTTTCTCTGAACATGTAAAGCCCGGGAAACCAGGAGGAGGCACAGCGTTCTCTCCTGAGTGCAAAGGCGGCTCTTGGTGTTGCTTTGCTGTAACTGCCATTTGCTGTTGATCGTTCTTTCCCTTTGAGGGAAAGAGGTTGAGGATGTAGTCTGAATGGTTTTTTAAGAATAAATAAATAAAAGGTAAAAGAATCTCATAACTAATTTATTATATTAAGAAATAGGATTTCAACCCTGGATAACCTCAGTTTTTATGTATTGTCTTTTGTGTAAGGGCAACGTCACATTTTAGTTTGGACATAAGATTGTAACCTTGCATACAAAATAAGTATAATTTTATGTACTTAGAAAACATTAATGTGAAATTAGAAGTACTGTCAGACCAGAAAACCAATCTTTTTCCCAAAAACTTTTTTCCTGACGTTCCCAGTAAATCACAAAGAATAAGGAACATGAGGGCCTTATCAACACTTAGTTACAAATACAGAATTTGTATTTAAATATATGAATACGTTCACAAGCACACACAGGTGTGTGTGCATGTGTATTTGTGCACTCGTTCTATATGTAGATTTCTAGAATGTTGGATACTTTTCTTTTTAAAATACTACTCTTGACCCTTAAAATATAGAATAACTTGTGTTACATCTAATATACTCTGTACTCTTAAATAATTCCTTCCACAGTTTTATTTATTTTTTGTTTTAGAGACCGAGTCTTACTGTCACCCAGGCTGGAGTATAGTGGTGCGATCATAGCTGACTGCAATCTTGAACGCCTGGTGGGCTCAAACAATCCTACACTGTTAGCCTCCCAAGTAGCTGGGACTGTGGGTGTGTGCCATCATGACCTACTGATTTTTTAAATTTTTTTTTAGACACAGGGTCTCACTGTGTGTTGCCCCTAGGCTGGTCTCAAACTTCTGGCCTCAAGCAATCCTCCCAGCTCAGCCTTCCAGCGTGCTGAGATTACAGGCGTCAGCCACCAGGAGCAGCCTCTTTCACAATTTTATGTGTAAACTACCGTATATGTTTGTTAAATGTCTGTTTATGTGTTCATTCCTGTGAATATTGACCATCTTTGTGTGTGTCTGGCATATTGAAGGACTAGATAATAAATATTTGGGGATTTGATGGCCAAGTCAAGGATATTATTACTGTGAAGGTATTTAATATAACCATTTAAAATGTAACCATTTAGAACTGGATAAACCATTCTTGGCCCAGGGACAATAGTTTACTAACCGCTAGATTGTAGTCACTATTTAATATTTTGTGTCTAAGGCCAGTCGTGGTGGCTCAATGCCTGTAATCACAGCACTTTGGGAGGCTAATGTGGGAGGATCACTTCAGCCCAGGAGTTTGAGGTTGCAGTGAGCTATGATGATGCCACTGCATTCTAGCCCAGGTATCAGAGTAAGACTGTGTCTTTAAAAAACAACAAAAATATTAGTGTCTAGTAAATCATGCAGACCAGCAATAATCTCAAACCTGAATAATGTAATACATTTTTAGTCAAAATAATTTAAGGAAAACTAAGTATTTTGAAAGTTAAGTATTTTACTAAGTGTGTTTTTGAAAGAATATTCTGTATTTAATATAGTAGCTATGTCTGTCGGAAGCAGTGGTATTCCTTCTTTTTTTTCACTATACAAAGAATGAGAACAATTAATAAGTTGCATTGCTGCCAACTTTTAACCACAGCATAATCCATGTCACAGTTACATTTATAAATGTTTTTATTAGAAACCCCCTGTTACTTACCAGGTTTCATTTGAGAAGCAGTAATTTTCAAACAGTGCAATATTTAATGCATTTTCCCTCTCCTGGCCAAATTTGTCCATGTGGAATTGGGTTGAATACTGAAAATCAGTCTGGACCCAGTGGCTCCCATACCTACCCAGCACTTTGGGAGGTGCAAGCAGGAGGATCACTTGAGCCCAAGAGTTCAACACCAGCCTGAGCAACATAGCAAAACCCTATCTCTACAAAAAATAGAAAAATTAGCCAGGTATGGTGGCACATTCCTGTAGTCCCAGCTACTTGGGAGACTGGAGCAGGAGGATCGCTTGAGCCCAGGAGCTTGAAGTTGCTGTGAGCTATGATGGTGCCACTGCATTCTAGTCAGGGTGACAGAGTGAGACCCTCTCTCAAAAAAAAAAAAAAGAAAAAGAAACCTTCCCCTCAAAATACTGAATATCAGACAGCATGTAAACATTGACCTGAGAGAGCAATCCAGTTGATAGAGCACTTTTATGTAGAAAACACTTTCCTGACACAAATAAACTAAAGTCACACAATCAAAGAAAATTAAAGTTTAACATTTTGGTGCTGGGTTCTAAATTATGCTTTTCTATTTCATTTGTTTACATTGAATGTTTTATGGCTTTAAGAGTAGTTCCCACGTGTCATTATAACACAGTAATCCAGTGTTGCTAATTCTTTTTCCTAAAACATGAGTTTGATATGAGATCAGTGATTCCATCTAATGTCTTTGGTTTCTTTACAGATCTTCTTCAACAGTATCGTTCTGCTCTGTGCAAGCTGGATGCTGTGAATAAGGACCTTAATAATCAATTAGAGTACCTTCGTACTCCAGATATGAAGCAAAAAAAGCAAGAACTTGATGAACAAGAGAAAAATCTGAAACTAATAGAGCAAAAACTAGGTGTTTACTTTTTGTTAACTTATACATTCTTTGTATGGAGATAAATATTTATGTTAAGAGAGAGAAAGAGTCCAACTGCAAGAAAAAAGAATGCAAATGATCCAGAACTTAAGTCAACAGAAACTCTTAACCTCTAAGTCATCCAATAAATGGTTATAAACTCTTCTCTCATCAGGAGTAATAAGAGGCATTCTCAGTATTATTTCTTAATTCTTTCTCTATAAATTAAGATGTATTTGCTTTTCTTTCATATAATAATTCCAATATTTTTATTTTAAGGTTAACCTTCTACATTTTCCATCTTTGCAGGTATGACTCCCACACGTAAGAGTAATGACTCATTGCGTCATTCAGCAAAGGTTGAGGTGGCAGATTGTCCAGTTCCTCCTAAAAGAATGAGAAGAGAAACCATAAGACAAAATAGGTGAGTTCATTATGACCTGAAAATTATCATTGGTTAGTTTGTCAAACCTCTTGGGTCATTATACTTTTAAAACAGTATGAATTCATTTCTGATTTCTCCCCTTGAGCCAGAATTAGTATTTTAAATTAAAAAGACAAAAAAACCAAGTGATGATAATAAAGATATAACATAATTCTTAGAAGATACCCAGTTTTCTAAATGATTTTTGCTAATTATTTAGAAATGTTTATAGTTTATTTTTCTGTTAAGAGTCAATGTTAAGAGTCAAATTGCTTTTCTGTTGTTTGGCTTAACTTTCAAATACACTGCATTCTCCCTCATAGGATCAGCAACTGGATAAGTATATAATATACAAAACATTTGTACATACTTATTTAAAAATTGCTTATTATTTTTGCTTTGGAGAATCAGATGCCAGTTAGATCACCAAAAAATAAACA